GCCCCGAAGCATTTGCAAGTTGCTCATATAAAGAATCAGGAAAAACGATTAATTATAATTCTTGATGGAGCACAGTTGGAGTCTGTGAAGGTTAGTTATGCCATGTGTTTTTGTTTACACTGAGAAACAATTATTTTCTCCAAATATTTATTCTTTCGAAAAAAGTATCATGTCTTTTATCATAAAATTTCCTATTTTCTCTGCCTACTTCTAATTCATATTTATTCAACAATGTAAATAAAATCGGTTTATTAATTTTTGTCTTCAAGGTGGGAAATAATTTCGAATTGTTAAATTGCGACGATCATATTGGAATCCTTAAGAAAAATAACAGAGATCCAGGAAGCTGCAGACCTGATATTGCTCATCAATGTCTTTTGATGCTGCTGGACAGTCCTCTGAACCGAGCAGGACTTCTTCAGGTTTATATTCATACTGAGAAGAATGTCCTCATTGAAGTCAACCCACAGACGAGGATACCCAGGACTTTCAAACGTTTTGCGGGGTTAATGGGTAAATTTAATGTGTACCATTTCTTTATGAATTTATAAATAATCCTGCAAGTATGTGTAGAATGGAAATTGTGAGGTGAAATTATGGTTTTGTCGATGTTCCAGTACAACTACTCCACAAATTCAGCGTCAGGGCGTCCGATGGCCACATGAAGCTGCTGAAAGTCATAAAAAATCCAGTCACTGATCATCTTCCAGTGGGATGCAGGAAATTAGCGATGTCCTTCAGTTCCAAAGTCGTGAAGAATCCCAGAGAATTGGTTCCCGGAGAAGAGCCCATAGCCATTGTTGTAGGAGCAATGGCACATGGACAGGTATATCATTAATCAATTTACTTCTGAAATAATTATTTTTCATTCCAGATTCATTTTTTAAGATCGTAAAAAAATCGTTTAGCCTTTTTTTAATTTATTGTTCATAAGATATCACACAGTTGCTAGAAATTTTGGATACCAATAACTTATATTTTTTGTACTGTCAACAGGTGAAGACAGACTATACAGAAGACACATTATCTATCAGTAATTACCCACTCTCTGGAGCATTAACGTGCAGTAAATTGTGTTCTGCTTTCGAGGAAGTTTGGAATATAATTTAAGACATAAATTAGTTGTATCATTACGAAATTCTGTATATTTTATTGTCAGCATACCCATTAAATGTTGGAAACGTGGTGATATTGTTGTTATTATTACTGCATATCACTGAGATGTGCATTTATTATTGTGGGTGCTATGAAGAGGGCGCCACACGCAATG